CCCATAAAGGAAGGAAACTCATTGAGGCTGAGCCCATAAAGGAAGGACACTCATTGCGGCTGAGCCCAAGGAAGGAAACTCATTGAGGCTGAGCCCATAAGGGAAGGAAACTCATTGAGGCTGAGCCCATAAAGAAGGAAACTCATTGAGGCTGAGCCCATAAAGGAAGGACACTCATTGCGGCTGAGCCCATAAAGGAAGGAAACTCATTGAGGCTGAGCCCAGAAAGGAAGGAAACTCATTGAGGCTGAGCCCATAAAGGAAGGAAACTCATTGAGGCTGAGCCCATAAAGGAAGGGAACTCATTGAGGCTGAGCCCAAAAAGGAAGGAAACTCATTGAGGCTGAGCCCATAAAGGAAGGAAACTCATCGAGGCTGAGCCCATAGGGGAAGGAAACTCATTGAGGCTGAGCCCATAAAGGAAGGGAACTCATCGAGGCTGAGTTATAGGGGAAGGAAACTCATTGAGGCTGAGCCCATAAAGGAAGGGAACTCATTGAGGCTGAGCCCAAGGAAGGAAACTCATTGAGGCTGAGCCCATAAAGGAAGGAAACTCATTGAGGCTGAGCCCATAAAGGAAGGACACTCATTGCGGCTGAGCCCATTGAGGCTGAGCCCAAGGAAGGAAACTCATTGAGGCTGAGCCCATAAAGGAAGGAAACTCATTGAGGTTGAGCCCATAAAGGAAGGACACTCATTGCGGCTGAGCCCATAAAGGAAGGAAACTCATTGAGGCTGAGCCCAAGGAAGGAAACTCATTGAGGCTGAGCCCATAAAGGAAGGAAACTCATTGAGGCTGAGCCCATAAAGGAAGGACACTCATTGCGGCTGAGCCCATAAAAGGAATAAACGGTTCATAACGGTTCCAATGGTCGCTTTACATGTCACCAAAACATGTGGAAAGGGGAGACACTCGAGATCTTCCAATGTTCATCTCCTCGGTATAAAGTGACTCTTTATTATCTTCTTCATTTTTCTTCTCACACCTGCTGTGAGTGACTTCCTGGTTGAACTAGTTGGTTGACTCAGTCTGTCTCTTCCTGACCATGGCTACACCCGCCACATGGCTTCTCACCTCACCCCGCGCGCTCCGCTCTCCGCGGGACCTCGTGACGTCCGCGTGATGGACCGATGGCCGAAGAAGCCATTCGACAAGGTCGACCCTGGTTTCATCTAAGGCATAAAGACCATGGTTTAAACGGGTTGATCTGGTTTGTGGTCGTGTGAAAGCCTTGAGTCAAACAATCCCAGACACGACCGCCATCTGGGACTGCCATAGGACTGCCGAGAAACGGCCAGGGGTGGTGCGTGGCTTCAGGGGTCTTGCTGGGGCGGCAGTCCGTCCTGCCAGTCTCATGGAGTGTTTGGGAATCCTTCTTCGGTGGTTCCTGACTTCTGAAGTATGTCGTAGTCCCAGCTGGTGCGACGCAACCTTCACTCGTAGGGAAGTAGCGAAGGACCCTCCCCTACCTACCAGAGATACCTTCCGACCTTATGATTCAATCCCCTTATTTCCTGAGGAGTCGCGCCGGTCACTTAGTGTTGGGACAGCACCTGGGACAGAGTTTCTCCGCTTGGTTTAGAAGCTTCAGGTGCAACTGCCGGGTCCACCTGCAGCTGGGCCAGGCGGGGCTTTGAAGGGGAGAAGACTTGGATGTTGGTCAGTCCATATTTTCAGAGATCGTGTAAGAATGGTAGAGTCAAGGGAGTCAAGGGCCTCACTTGACTGGATTTGTAAAGTCAAGGCCTCACTTGACTGGATTTGTGTTGTCATGTGTTGTCTATATTGCGAAAGCCATTGCGAAGCCTACCAACTGAGGATCCTTAGGGCCCAGCCTCACTCATTGTACTTCCACTCCAATCATGAAACCCGTTAATGGGGCCCCAATGTCGGACGGCCATGCAATCCAACTACCAGACAGTCAGGTGCTTTGGTTCTTCACTCACTCCACATCACCCTGACACTCACGGAGTGTCGCCCGAGACACCGGCCTTGCAGGAACCGAAAGCTCCAGGGAGTCTCCCGTGCCGGACCAGGTGGCGAGTCACGAACGGGTGAGATGAGCACCGCGGCGGCGGCGAATGACTGCGGTGTTAGGTCGTGGAATAGAACCGAAGGATCCACAGTCAGTGACCGAAGGTCTTGGGATCCCAGTGGTTGAGGTCACTTAGAACGCACAGCACAAACAGTCCGTCCAAAGGGGTCTCTTTGAAGGTCCTGGAATATACAGTGATGTACTTCGAAGCGGTTTCCGCCACAGTCCCCATGTGTCTGAGTGTTTCTGCCAGAGAATTGACTCCCGTCTCCGCTGACCCGAAACTTGATGCTGAAGTGTCCCACAAAACACATTGGTCTCCTTTGTTCTCCTCAATCCATTCCCAGCAATCCACTCCTGGTCAGACCATCTGACCTCGTGGAAAAGAGCATCAGCGACCCAAACCTGGACCTCGAATTTACCACTTGCGCGACCAGTGACTTTTGTTTTGTGATTCCTATCAACGTGACGGCGTCTCACTGCCTAACTTCACCTGTTAATTTGTAGATACTTTGTATCATTCGGACTACATAGGGAATCCCACTCACCCCTGCAATATGCAGCTCCAAAAAGAAGATCAGTTTTCGTTCCATCGCCATGGCAAAACTATGCAAAACTCATGCAGAGCCTCAAATTACATGCTGCAAACTTCGGCCTTATTTTATCGCCGGAAGACACATCCTCCGCTTTTCAGGTGGAAAAGTCCTCCTCTGAACAGTCACAGACGTCATTAGGCCTGCTGGAGGAGTGACGGTCTGGTCAGGAGAGGGGGTCGTGGCTGGTCATGGCAGATCTTGACATCTACTGAAATTCACTATGTGCCGGTCTGGTCCAGAAGCTGCTACAAGAAAAATCAGACAAGAGAGCCAGAGAGATCTCAACTGAGCAGGTTTCAAAGCCTTCGTGAAAGGATTGTGAAAGGGCTGTATAATCCATCAGTCACAAAGGGGTGCTTAATGGAGGTTAGGGGTGCCCATTATCCACTCACTTAGTGACTGAACACAACCCCTTTGTGACTGCTGGATTATAGTATATATTTCTTAGATATTTCTTCATCGCTAGGGTAGCAAGCTGAGGGCGGCCCGGCTGCAGTGAGCCACAGCGACCAGCGAGAAGATGAAGACTGTATAGAACTACACCCTGGAAGAGGCTCACATGGAACCTGAAAGCCAATGGGTTGTAGAGGAAAATAGTGTTCCAGTCTGGTCCATTGTCAGGTTCCATGTTAATCTTCCCAGGTGTAATTAACTATAGTTAGAGTGGTTCCCGCTCGCAACTTCCAGTGCAGCAGTTTGTCACGTGTTCTTTTTGGGAAGGGTGTGGTGTCCTACATATTTCCATACATTTAGTGATACTGACTGGATTACATACTTGGTAAACTTCCCTCTCCCTCTCTCTCTGTCTCTATATATACATATAGATTAATTACTACAGACGCATCAATTCCGGTTTCTTTGCGCGATCCATAAGTTGATTATACTGGGTTGCCTTACACATTGCAGAGGACACGTTCTCGAAACATGTCGCAAGTTATCAGTTCAGTCACTGTCACCTTCGCTTTGCCTGCTTAGACGTGATACATGTTCAGTTGATGATTTGAGATGTTCTCCGCCACCATGGTGATACAAACTGTATGCTTGCGTTCTTGGCTCATACCATGTTTGACCTGCGAATCAAGAGGTTTGGATTTGCAACCAGAGGAGACACCGGTGGAATCTCGGGAGGAGGCCATAGAGGCTGGAGGCCATGCAGGCGCCCAGTAACCCCCAAGTCAGTCAGCACTTTCGGACCCCACCGTCTCTAGTCTGAAAGAGAAGACCGAAGATCTAACCAAGTGGCATGGTGCTATCATGTGCCAACACTCAGCACTGAGTCACTGAGGGAATTTTGATACCTTCCTTCCTTGTCAAGGTCCTTGTCATGTTCATCTCTCACGATTCGGAAGTTCCCCCCAATGTGGGGACCCTGGCACGAAACTGCCCCCCCCCAGGGCGGGGATTGAGGGGTTGGTTATTCTTGATGAATCTAAGACAGAGCCCAGCAATGTACCTTTGCACGGAAGTCCTGTGGAACATCTTCCAGCTTGGAGCCATGGCACGGCCATTGGCTTCAGCCCTCTTCGCCACCCTTGAACCACCAGTTGATGCGGCCGATCCCACGGCCGATCCCACGACCTCGACTTCTCCACGCTGCGCGTTCGGTGCCGTGGCCGGTGCGCAGAGCGACAAAAAGACCGTGGTTGGTTGGGCGACCCGCTACTGAAGGGGTTCAAGATGTGAACCCGGACTTAGCTGCTGTGGATGAAACCTTTCGGCTCCACCGAACCTTTTCCCGTTTTTTTTCGCTTCGAAGAACGCGGAGCAGGGGGGTGCAGGATGGAGGGTGGCGCGGGGCGAAGGGCGGTGAGCGGAGGGTCACAGCAGCTCACACGGAGAAAGGGAAAAGAACCTACTACAGGTCACCCACAGGTGTTGCGGGTATGGTTTCTTCTTCTCTATGCAAATGGTTTAAGCTTTCATGTCCAGAGTGCGCTTTTTTTGAGTAGGAGGAACACCATATGAAGTTCTTTCTCTCGTCACTTTCGATGGATTTCCGTGGCACGTGGCACCTTTGGTCATTGCCGTTTCATCTCCTAGACACCTGAGGTTGCTTGGGCTGCCAAGCGCGGGCCAGCAAGAACCATGAGGACCGTCCGAGTGGCTCTCCACCCGCTTCCGGCTAAGGCTTAGCTCAGGCCCGGCATAGGGAGTTGAACATGCGGAAGCAATGCCTGTTTCAAGGCGGGTATGTATTATATAGAATAATCTAAAATAGGCAGACCTCCCAAGGACCCTCTGGAAGAAGGAAAATGGACTAGAACCCACTGGTTAAGGGTCTTTTTTCAAATACACGCCCATGCGTATATTTCACAGGATATACAAATGAGGTCGAGTTTAGACCCAGTGAAACTCGAGGTGTGACTCTTCAACTGATTGATTGCCACAGCCTTCAGGCACCCTGAAGTTCCAAAGAGTATGCATTTGCCATTTGGACCGCCCCTTACCCACAACAGTTGTGTTCAAACAGGGATCATGACTTGTATATTTGGAATTACGACGAAATTTCCGTATTCACAGACCTTTCACTGATCCTACTACCACAGACACACACACCTTAGTTGTCCTTGTGCCGCGTTCGCGTTGCGCTAGCTCGCGGTCACTTCACCACTTCACCAGGAGCTTAGTGTGGTGGAGCATCTGCGACTTCTGCTTCAGGCCAAGCCGGGCGTCGCCGCGACCACCGCGACCACCGAGGAACGATCCGCGGTTCGGGTCGGGTCGGCGTGGCAGCCGTTCCTCAGCTAGAGGAGCTGCCTGGAGAGGGGAACTGCTTCGGGAAAATCAAAAAGAAAGCATGGTCAGATCCTTAGGGACCGGCAGGGGTTGGATGGGCAGCATGGATAGATCCTTAGTATACTCGGTCGACTGCAATGGACAGGAAAAACATGAGTTTGAACAAACTTCCACACAGATGAATATGACACATCATGAAACATATGAAACCAGATATGAAGAAGCCCTAGCTATGAAAGCAATCCCCTTCTTATTTCCCTTGACCTCATCATGGCACATGTGATGTTTGGACATGCCGCTGGCAACATCTTGGAAGCCGGACATGTGCTGTGTTTTGGACCAGCCGGCTGCCACACCTGATCACAAAGCAAACCAAAAGGGTTTCTCTATGTTCCCTTGCGGAGAGATGTGGAGAGGAGTAGCTGTAAGATGCTGTAAGTGAACCCTTGTACAAAAATGTAGACACGACTGATGCTTGTACTTGAACAGTTCAGAGCCTTGGCAGCGTTCATGTCAGTAGCCGTACATGCAGCTACTTAAACACCTGGATCGACATGTACAAATCGATCACGACCGGTGACCGACAGGCAGTGGTCGACATGAAGACACGGCTAGAGAAGGCGGGACCGGTCTGCTGGAGCTGAGAAAGAGGGTGATCAATCAATTCGACCTTTTGCATGTGCTTCTTGACGTGACGCTACTATCGTGTTTGCAGTTTGCGCTTCAGAAAAGAACAGTAAAGTGTGGGATTGGAGAGTGGGCAACTTCACCCAGTTCCTAAGTAAAGGTGGTGATCCAAAGAATTAGCAAGTGAGTGAACCTTACATTTTGGACCATGAATACCTTCCAATACCTTTAACAGTTTGATGCCAAGTGTATAGCTTTCCTGAATTTTGTTCTTCCCTATGTAAGGGAATGGTCATCCTAATTGACTACATCGTATTTTAGGACCAAAACAAATCCCGCGATCTTCTTGAATATCTGGCATCCGGCGACCGGCGACCGGCGGAACCGGACCAGGATCCTATGATCATGTTGCATATGTTGATGCCCAGTTCCTTTCCTCTTTGCCATGTTTGCAGCTCTCCTATGCAGAACAAGAACATTGAGAGTTCAAACACAGGGAATGACCTTGACCTGTAAGTGATGTTTTTCTTGTTAAACTGAAGTAATCAAGTATAAGTCAGTGAAAGAGAGGGAACATGACCCCAGTGGGCGTATTAGAATCACTCACAGACCCAGACCGGACTGGAGTCGAGCTCCAGGTGATCCCCTCAGATGGCGAGGAGAGATTCATGGCAGCAAGAAGCGTGTTGACGTGTCGCTTGGAACACGCCTTTGGACAGGTTGTTTCTACCCCCCAAAACTGAAACTGCTCAACTCACCAGCCCACTTTGAATCTGCCTCCTGGGGTGCGAAAAAGACAAGTTTCCACACGCGCTCGCATGTTGAGCATGTCTTCGAGCCCATGTTGAAGTTGGGCTGAAAGGTCTCCGGCTCTAGGTCGCTGCACGGCTCCGAGGGATAGTGCAAGTTGACGAGCTCCGTGCCTTCCTTTTCTTTTACTTTTTTTGTACACCTAGGTTCATCCATGGACCGGATTATACTTTGGAGCAGAACATTTGCTGGAGGCTTGCATTCTACTGACAATAGAGGGATTACTGGTTACTCACATGGTTTCTTGAATGTCAAAACACAGAGCTTGGAGCGTTTGTGCTAAGAACTCCGCCAGAACACGCTTTGCGTTCTGTCCGGTCGACCGTTCTTTTTCTCACCACTGCGTGCGTTGACGAGCGCATGACCCGTGCGTTGCGGCCCGCGGTGTGGCTTGAGGACAGCGATGGCCAAAAGAGATTCTTGGCAAGCAACCTTAGAGCATCAGGGACCTTGACTCGGGTCTATACTCGTGAAGCCTTCATTGCTGTTGTTAATCCAGCCAGAGTCAACTGGGGTTTATCATGGATTTGCACCGGACAAAAGGCTGGTTTATTCGACGTGTCAACAAAAACTTGGGATCTCATTCATGCCAACACACGGATGAAGGAAGCCTGCTTAGAAAAGAATGATGCCAGGAAAGACAGTATCGGAAGCAGAAACGCCAAACTGATAACCTCTTTGGAAGAGGGGTCATCCATTTTCTGACCCTTGCAGTCAGGCCATTCTTTTAGAAGCTGGCCAAGCATGCAAAACTGGTTTCCAAAGAACGTAGGAGAGGACAACTTCTTAGAAAGCCGTAACACCGCACCCAAAGTGCTAATTCCCTGGTTAGCAGGCTCATATCCAAGATCCAAGGGCAAGATTCAACGAAGAAGGATCCAAAGCGAGTCCACTTGGCTCAGGCTTGAGCTTTAAGACATAAAGATCATGAAGATTTAAAGACTTCTCCATGCAGATGTTTACTTACCGACATTTCTGTTTTTGTGGCAGCTGGTCTACAAAAAGTCCCAAGCCTACAACATTTGCCCTGCACTCTACCCTCCAAGGCTATCCAAGCCTCCCTTGCATCCACCCTCCTCGCCACCCCTACGTGGCAAAAGCGCCGTGGAAAGCCGCGACGGGAGCCGCGTCAGCTCCGAACGCCTGGGCCAGCGGATGCCGAGCTTCGAGGAGTTGTGGAGGGACCAACGCCGCAACGCCTCGAGGAAGTGTCTTTTCAATATCCCAAGCATGTCGTTTTCTCTGTGGGAGTCGTCACAAAAGGGTAAATGTAGACTCTTGATTTAAATTAAACTAAACCTCCTCCATTTGGATGCGCGCACACCTCTTCATATGGAGGGGTTGGGGAGTCTACATTAGTTGGCGGGAAGAGGTTATTTTGGACGACCCCCATGACATGAGAATTGAACAGTTGCTTACATTGACGCCTTTTCGACCAGCCCAACTGATAGTTGTCGCTTGCCAGTCCCAGACAGGTCGTTTGAAAAACTTGGAGGAAGCAAAGGACATCCCACTGGATGGTTTCATTTGTTTGGACCATGGGAGCCTGTGCTCCCGGACGACCATCTACTGATGCTCCAGGAGCCCATCCCTGTGCCTCTCCCAGATCCGGACGTGCCCGAGGCACGATGGAGGGTGTGTGGGTCAGTTCATCTGGATTTTTGCAGTTCGTGGGCAACTGGACCTTGTTTCAACATTCCGTTCAATTCCACCGTGATATTGTCGGGACGCACATTCCGCTGCATGCTGCGGTGATATGTCGTGCCCACGAGAGATTGCCAGAGGATCTCCGAGCATTGGCTGTTCTTCTGGTGTTTTCACTGTCTTTTTCAATTCCTGTTGTCCAGCTGGTTGCTAGACAAGACAACGACCACAGCCATGACATGACATCATGATGGTAGAGCCCTCCCTCTGATCAGGCCCTCCCCGCGCCGCGGACTGCGCCGGGGCATGCGTCTTCTTCGCCGCGCAGAAGTGCTCCGGATGTGCCGGCGTGGCCGGATGTGCCGGAGGTGGTGCCTGCAGCTCCAGGTTGGGTGGACAGGGCGGATGACTCAGAATTCATGGAAAAACCGGACCTCATGAATCGGACAGAGCAACACCCATGTTCCGGAATGTTGTTTTACATCGTTTTCGCGGTAAATGTTTCTTCCTCCATCCGCAGGAAGCCAGTAACACCACTTGGACAAGCTGGCACTTCCAGAAACCGCAAAAGACCATGAAAACCCAGCCACATGAGGCGAAGTGTCCGACACTGGCCAATTAGACCTGCTGCGGCTGCTGGCCACCCAAGGCACTGCCCAGGACAGCTGCTGGGGTTGTGAGGAGGGTCTGAAGAGGAAGCCGAGAAAGGACTACACTAAACAGGTGGAGATGTTCCACTTCCATGATGATTTCATCCAGTGTAAGCAACATGGATTTGTGCGTTCATCATTTAACTAATTTGCATTTTTTCAACTCTATTTGGGAATGACTTCCCCAGTTGACTCATATATGGCCGTCCAAGAAAATTATAGAAATTTAAGCAGCCTGACGGGAGCCACATCCACAGTCTGTCAGCACGGTCGACTTTTCAGACGGGCAGACAGACTGACATGGACCCCGAAGATTGGCATCAGGAAAACACCATGGACACGTGACAAGCAATCTTATCGTCGTATTTTAAGAGCCCCCTAAGGAGGGTTAATTGGCACCCCTCAACCGTTAACCTCTAAGGGGCTATTCATATACCCCTCTTGGAGGGCCCTGGTATATACACACATGTTTCCACCAGTTGACTGGGAGGAAAACATGTTTGCGGTCTCACTGCACAGGACCTGGACTATATATGAGCCGCTCTAAAAACCTGCCTTTACATCTTAAGGAAGGACCTTGTCATATCGAATTCCGCGTAAGCAAAACCCTGGGTTGCGTAAGATTGCGTATAAGCATTTCGCGTAAGCATTTCGGAAGTTTGCTCTGCGTAAGCAAAAGTGAGGGCCGCGTAAGCAGCGCGTAAGGCTTCGCGCAAGGAAAGTGATACGACATAGGGAGTGACTCCAGGGTTTTTTGAGTGGCTCATAGAGTTTCTTTCTGGAACATCTCCAACCCAGTCTGAGAGCTCTCTTTGGCCAGACACTTTGGCTCCCAAACAGTTTACTAGTAATTAGTTGGATGCATTTAATTGGCAATAGCCTAACAAAAGATCTTCGAAACCGGAGCGGTTCTGCTTCCTGGTGAAATCATCCACTTCGAGTGTGTGTGGATCGAAGTTCCTTGGAGCCAGGAGATCGAAGTTCCTTGGAGCTAGCGAGTCGTGAGTTACGCCCGGGCCGGTCCGACCCCTGGAGTCTGGAGGGCCCCTTTCAAAGGGTTCAACCACGGCAAGTAGATCTTACAATTCTTCCCATAGAAACCAAGAAGTTTGTGGTGTTTCCCTACTCCGAGGAGTTGATCTTGGCTTCTAGTTTCACGCAGCTCGCACGATGAACATGCCGTCCTTTGATCGTTGAACTGGCGACCTCCAGACGGGATCTTTTTCTTCAATAAATTATTTGGATATATTTGCTTGACATCAGCACCAACATCCCTCTATCCCTATTCAACAAATTCAACTATCCAAGCAGTGAATATGCTTTGAGCCACCCTAGCTAGAGAGAGAGAGAGACACACACACACACACACTTCAAAGATCTTCAAAGCACTAAGCACTAGATATGGTTATGGTTGTAGCATGTTGCAGCCTCACAAAAGTTGACACATGCAGTGCAGCATCATGCAGAGTCCATGGTGTTGGTCAAAGAGACTGACTTTGATGTTTGGAGAATGGAGAACGAAAGGCTGAAGGAGGTCGCTCGGCGAGTTCTGCAAGTGGTGTATTTCTCATTGAAACCAACGTTTCCAAAACGTTGATCTGGATGATCCGAAGCGTCATTTTCTTTGGTAACAGCCTTCTACCACGGACCGGTCGAACGACGCTTCACCACGGTCCTGCATCCGGCCGAGGTGCCTGGCGGTCTCGGCGGTCTTGGCGGTCGCGCGGAGCTGCCAGGCGTGGAGGGCTCCATCTTTGCTCCGGAGTTCCAAGGTTGGAGCAGAGAAGATCCAACTGATAGGAGTTCCAATGGAGTTCCAGTCTCCAATTGGTCGTTTTCAGGCGGAAGAACCCTCCGGGTGCTGGCATAAGATCATCAAATTCACGTCCCATATGTTCGTGGATGTGTTCGTGAAGGTCCCGGAGCTTGTTTCCGACTTTCCAAGTTCTTTTCACCACGCGGAACTGCTGGAAGAAGGAAACCAGCAGGGCAGGGAGGGAGGGTCATGGAGTCCATAGAGTCGCTCAGACCGGTCGCACAGCCATTCTGCACCACTTCCTCAGAGGGGTCGCGCCAACATTGAATGAGGGGGCACGGGGGTTGCTATGCGACCCTTCCAGGGTAAAGTGGTGAGGTGGTGCAGGATTTTTTCCATCAACAGTATGATTTACACGGATCAGGCGAGGCCATCCGCAGCAACCAGCTGAAGAGATCCTAAGATCTTGGATTCAATTCAACCATTTTCTCTCCCGGCTGAGTGGCGGCTGGGTCCCTCATTTTCTGATATCCGAAACATGAAGCAATCAAGTTGGCAGGTTTTGGGGATCAAGTTGGTTGGTTGGAGAAAGGTTTTTGGCATGCCAATCATTGCCTGTACACCGCTTGCGTGCGTTGTGTGCGTGGCTTACCAGCAAGTCTCGCCATCCTCAAAGAGCTCGAATAGTATATAGTGATCCTGCCAACAACCTGGTTCTAGCGGGTGCTAAGTCACAACATTCAGACCATCCAATGCACATGTGCAGTTGCCAGTTTCAGATCTGGCGACCGCTGGCGACCCATGCCGGCCTCCGTCGTCACGGTCTCCCAAGCCACGTCGGAAGCCACCGATCTCTGGGTCGTCGGTTTGACTGAGAAGAGTCGCGACCTGCAGTCAATGGGGAGAATCCCCATAGGTCCAATGTCCAGTCTGACATAGTCTGACCCAGGTCGTACCTGGTCGTACCTGATGGAGTAGTGGTTACAATTGTGCTTATTTTTGTATAATCCTATCTGATCCAGTCAAATGAGGTTGTACTTCATGTCCCAGACAATCCATGGGACTGGACATGTATGGACCATTTGCCGATCAGTTCCAGTTGGACTGTTTGGTTTCAGGGGTTCAATGTACATATAGGCACAATTAATGTGTATAGGCAGATTTTCCAGTCCCATGGGTCTTGGCTGGGTGTTGGACTGGTGTGAAATATGTTTCTCCCCCTGCTGGTCTCACCATGTCTCACTCTTGTGATGTTGAAGTGCCAGGTCCTTCAGCTGCTGTTCCGGTGGCTGAGGCGGTCGAGGCGAGCCACCTGGATCCACCTCGCCGGATCCGCGTTTCCGAAGAGATGCGGAGCGCTCCTCTGATACATGTCATTTCAGGTGTTTTTGGTTACGTAGCACATGTTAGCACAAAAACCTAACATGAGAGACATGAGGGTCAAACATCAGCGCTGGAGCGGCTTTGATCTGGAAGAGGACGTAGGTCAAGATGGTTAAGCAGCTTATCGTACATTCGTGTTGAAGGTCACTTCAAGACTTCAATTGGCTCCCGCGGCTCCTCAAGAAAAGCCAAGCTAGATATGTTGATGAATTTCCCGGATGTGGTGCCGTACGTCTTATTTCCCAGAATGGTGCGAGAGACAAGGGATCGTCTGGATTGTCAGTACTAGTTACAAAGACATGTGTATGGTTGTTGGGGCTTGCACACACCATTCAACTTCTGGTCTCTTTTCGCTTCAGCGATCTTTCTCCCATCTGCAAGATCGAAGTCGAAGGTGGACCATTGGAGCGCTTTTTGCGCTCCTTCGTTGCTCCTTCTTTGCTCAGAGTAGTGAGCATGTTCAGCATGTTCTACCACCCCCAGCCATGTTTCTTGAGCCCCCGTAGCTGTTCTTTCCGGACACAGGAGCCGGCACCGCACCGGTGTCCCACACAGCGGGTGTCCCACCCGGACCGGTCGCTTCGACCGCGCGGCCGGTTTTCGCCAGGCGCGGGGGAGCCTCATGTCGCGGACGCTGCAACTGCCGGGCATCACGCAGGCGGCTTCGACCACGAACGTGAGCGGACAACGCCGACCGGATCCGACGATGAGACGATCGACCGGGCGAAACATCACTGACGCAGAGATAGGTGTGGTTGAATGGCTTCTTGTTACTAGTAAGAATGCTCCTAGTAGCGGCCTTGCTCCTAGTGGTAAGGCCAGGAGCCCCTAGTAGCGTCCTTGCTCCTAGTAGTAAGGCCAGGAGCCCCTAGTAGCGTCCTTGCTCCTAGTAGGAAGGCCAGGAGCCCCTAGGTGTGGGTGAACACCTGGAGCTTTAAGACGGTTGACACGGTCGTCCGGTAGTCCATTGGCTGTTCAGTCCGCTGACCAATCCATCTGAGCCACGTTTTTTTTGCAAATGATTAGGTTTATACAAAAAGGGAACTGTTGAGAAGTCGCGGAGGCTGTTCTGCTTGGGGCGTAGGCGTCGTGTAAGCATTTTGCGTAGGTGGGTGTTGAAAGATTTGCGTAGGCAGTCTTGCGTAGGCACCCTTTTCATGAAAGCCTGAATTTTCTTATTCAGACTTCTTTAAAAGTTGTTCAAGGGTCTTGGGGAAAGATAATGTTGGCTTGTAGTTGTTTAACTTGGCACTTGCTTGCAAATTCCAGTGGGGAAGGAAAATGAAAATGAATTGTAACGACATGGCTACAGTGGATGTTTGAAGTTTGTTTGTCGAAGCTATGGGGGCACATTGGTTTTTGAGGTCAAAAGCTTGATCGTGCTTGGTCTGGCACACCGGCTCTTGAGCTACAACTGTGCGCACCCTGTTGGTACCATAATCAATGGACCTATTTTCGCGTAGGCGCCGCGTAGGCGCTCGCGGAAGCAGCGCGTAGGCAAGAAGCTATTGGCTGCTGCTACTGCTTGGCTGCTGCTTTTGCTGCTGCTTGGCTGCTGCTGCTGCTGCTGCTGCTGGTGCTGCTGCCTCTTGTTTTCTGCTGCTTGTTTGCTGCTTGTTGTGCGCTGTTTATGTGCTGCTGCTTCCACACTGTAATTGGATCGGCTTGATACAAAATCTATCTGGCCATCGGTAGCAAAGCTGTAAACGCCTTGTAAACAGGAACCTGATGTGACCCGGAACCTGATGTGACCCGGTCGCATCGGGCCACTACTTGCGGATTATATAGCTCTTCTATTTTCGAGTCACCTGATGTGACTAAAGTTGGTGACAGTACCCTGCGTAGGCATCCCGCGTAGGCACCTAACAAAGAGAACCTCTCGCGTAGGCATTTGCTTGGGAGGGGAGCCCAGGCGTAGGCACCCGCGTAGGTACAGACCCAGTGTATAAGCCCCACACCACAAAAAAAAACACAACTCATCTGGGGCCCGGCAACCACAGGAAAGCCCTCATGTTCCAAGCTTTCTCCACATTTTGGAAACAGGTCAATATTGTTGCTGTGTACTCTACAGTTTGTGAATGTTTGTGACATAGTTGCATCCAACGCCCTTGTAAACAGGGACCTCAATCTGAATGAAACCTGTTCTGCTCAGGAAAAAGAACATACATATCTCGCTTATGTTCTTTGAAGGTGTGTGTTGAAATTGGCACACTATGCCATACTGCGCACTTGATGTTGTGATTTCGAAGACGAAAGACGTTTCACAGAAACCCCCAGACGCTCCAGCGAAACGGCTGGAGATGTTTAGCCGTGCATGAAACAGCGTTTTGGATCGTGCAGGTGTGGATCCCCCCAAAAAAAACATTGAGAGTCTAATGCTTTTTTTTGGGGGGGGGAGGTCTGGCTTTGTTTTTGGCATTGTTTTAATTCTTTAGGATAAATTTGGATCCAAGGATCCAATTATTTTTCGGATATATTAGGATAATATGTGTAAGTTATATTCCTATTATATACAAATATTGACTATAATATGTAGTATGTTTCCCACTTCAGTTTTCCGGTCTTCCCCTGACCCGTCTGACAAAGTCTCATTGAGAGCGGGATACCGCCAGGGAGCTCCCGAGAAGGTGTCGAGCGTGGTGCCAGGCACAGCATGGGAAGCAACCAGCCACGAACATCATTCCCATTGGATTGAATCTGCATTTTAGCCCGTGATGTAGGTTCTTGATGAATAAAACACTATCAATATCAGGTGTTTAATCGCATATCCAAAGGGTTTCTTGATTATAAAGGGGCGGATCTACGCCACCGGCCCAAAGGGTTTCTACGCCACCTCCAAATGAGGATCCGAGGTTTGATTGTCAAGAACTTCTTGCTTGGACGTCACGGGGTCAGCAGGTGTGGTCACACCGTGGGCCAAGTGCGAAGCATGACACAACTTCTCAAGAGACAGATGAATGTGCTACACTCTGACGAACACATCACATGGAAGTGGAAAATCCATGATACATTCCCCTGTCCTTAAAGGAAAGCCGTCTTCCGGACTATTTTCCACTGCCATGTTAATGAGTCAGAGTGTAACCATGATCCGACGCTTCAGACATGCTGACGAGTTCTATTTTGCTTGGCCAACGTCTTGGTTTGTGTCGCTGAAATCAGAACATCGTATTATCAGTACTATCCCAGATATTCCATGTATGAGACATTATGAGACCCTATAGAGGTGAAAGACCTCATTTTGCTGGAATTGGGTCATACAAAAACACTACTCAATACTACTCGTCAGAAGGTTTTCAGGGCCCACGTTGTACTGGGTCAGACTGGACCCGGGAGATGTTTAAACCAAATACCAGACACTCCATGTATGGCATATATGCCTACATTGACCCCCAGTCAACCACCGCAACTCATGGGCAGTCCTATTATGGCAGTCCCAGATGGTGGTCGTGTCGAATTGGAACCCCAAGGAAGAATGACCCACCTCGGTGGGTCCCTCCTGGTTGATCCCCGTCCGCTCGTTGATCCAGGTCCGGTGAGCTCCGTCCGTGACCAGCGCACCTCCATCGCCGCCGCCTTGTTGCAGACCACTCCGGAGGACCAATTCCGTCCGAGCGGTCCGGGTCCGGCGGTTTGGCGGACGGAGTTGGTGGAGGAAGACCACATGAAGACCACATGAGGACCCTATCCAAATTGATTCCAACAAACATGGAAGTGGAACAAGGCTGAAATCCTCTATGAGCAGGCTGTATTCCACTTCCATGATTGTCTCAGGGAGGGTATTTTGGACACGACCAGAATCCTCGACAAAAAGCACGGGCCGCCTGGAGTTTTTCGATGTTCTTTGGTCCACAGAAACCAGACAATTCTTGGTTTGTCAGCTTCCAAGTGGAGGGCACGGCACCGCACCTGATGGAACCAGGATGGCATCGCATGTCCAGGGTTCGGCCGTTGGCTTTGGATGACCGTCAGAGATTCGTGCGCTTTTGGCCACCAACCCTACAGATCCAAGTAACTTCTCAGAAGGTGATTGGACACTGTTATGGAGGTGTGGAGGATCCAAGTACCTTCTGAGAAGGCACGACTGGATCGCTAGGGTAAAAATACTCCACCACTCTTTGTAAGGGACCGCTTGTCGACCATCGGGACCTCAGAGCCGTGTAACCTGCGGCGGGGTGTTGGCAGGTGTTGGCAGGTTTCATCCTCTGGCATCTTGGGGACATACTTGCATGAAACTTGTTTCCTCACTTCAATCAGACGAGAAACAGCCGAGAAGAGAGGGATCAGCTGTCTTTGGATGAAGACAGGGGCAAGGAAAGATAGGAAAGGGTGATCATCTTGATCTGACTTTTCCGCAGAATCTTGCTCACCAACCGGAAGCCACTGTGCGGACCCACCGGCGGACCTGCGTGAGGAGCCTTTGGTGGAAGACCCGCAGAAGTGTCCTCTGGAGGAGACCCGCCCGCTGGGGGGCGGCACCCGCGGCAGAAGCTTCGATCGGTCTCAGCGGCCGAGGAACCGCGTTCGCCACCGCGTTCGCCACAGATGGGATTGTCCGATCAAAGAGTAACAATTTGAGATGGGATCCTGGGGGGCATGGCGGATGTCTGGATTGCGTTCTGCCTGCTTATCGGTTATCCTTTGAAATATTGATCACCACACCTTACCTTTATTAAAACAAATACAGCACCACCTGGAAGGCCCCAAAACACCAAAATACAACTGTAAAGAAAGATGAGACATCTCTCACCAGTTAGAACAGCGGATTTCCATTGCCCAGTGGAGGACTTGCTCGATCCACCGCAAGCTGAACTACAACGTCCCCATCCAGCTGAAAAGGCCGCAGAAAGGGTCTCAGACGAGTTCCATGTCGGCGTCGATGGTGGATTGAGAATAGATGGTACCAACCTCTAGGTGGGTGGTTTATACGGACCCGCTAAAGGCATCTTCGGGGTGCCAGTGCCATACTCTGAAACCATTGTTTTCCCACTTGTAAACAATCACACCATATCATATCACACCTTTAGGCCAAGGCAGGACATTCTCCTACTCCTTCTCAGACGAGCGGGCCTTCCTCGTGGAGTGAACGACCCAAGAAATAGATCGTTCACTGTCTTCGCGTTTGGACCCTAGAGATCCAAGTACTGTACCTTCTTTACCTTCATCATCTACATCATCCATTTGGACCCAGACCCACGACAACTTCAACCGCGCTGCACTCCACCATGAGCCCATCATGGATTCCCCCCTAAGTTGGTTGGTGTCCTCCTCGTTGGGGAGGGGTTGTACATGGTTTGTACACCTGAACGCAGGAGCTAAACCAATCTTGCTTCCCACCTGAGTTGAAGCAATCTTGCTTCCGACTCGTCTCTTCCAACTCATCCAACTCATCCTGGCGCTTTCACCGGGCGCTTTCACCACCCTGGCCCCGCCCGCTTGCACCGGTCCCATCCGGGAACGGTGTGCGCGATAGCCGCGAGCCGATCGCCAGGAGTCCCAAGAGGCTCTCGCCCTGCTGAATCGCGCCACCGCGGAGCTCCAGCAGAACAGGCCGAGACGAACGAGGACCGGAGGACCACGGTTCGGCGCGGTACGGACGAGACCACGAAAGCAGCTGCCCAGTGTCTCAGACTTATATATGACGAAGGACATATTGAAGTCTACATAGGGATGACTATATTGACAGTAAGTCACCATGTGAAGGATCATTCATGATATTATGACTTAATTTGGAATATTTTGATGACTTTACACATTTTTAGACTCTTAAGTTGTATTATGTTGTATTTCAACCATGTCAGACATGGATGAAGTTGGAAGAAACGGGTACAGCGTTGTCGCTCGTGAGCGGACTTCCGGAAGTAGAGATCGAAGATGACATCTGCAGTTGCAGTCACATGTCTTGGGTAAAGGAGATGGGGTAAAGGAGCCAAACCAGGGGCTTGAACAGACCCTGGTGTCGGGTGACTCAACAATGAAGGGTGTATAGTCTAGTAGATGTGTGTAACGTATCTGCAAACGAACAGTATGAACATGTACTGTACTAGAGACTAGTGCACTAGCAGGCAGACTAGCAGACAATTAAGACTACACCCCCAATGATCTCTTCTCAAAGGGGCAGGCGGTCTTCGCATGGCTCGGTGGTCTTCGCCGCCGTCGTCCCTCGTCGTTCGGCGACCAGGTTGTCCCACGCGTCGGCGGCGGACACCTTCACCGAGCTGCTGAGACCCGGACAGGAAGAAACACAGACGTCCGGAGTGTTTGGTCGTGGTTGGATGGTCGTGTTACTACACAAGTGTGGAAGATTCCATTGCTTGGCTTCCGAGATTTTTGGGGAACAGTCTCATGTCCCACCATTCAGAACGGGCATTTTGTTATCCCAGCTTTGTAATGAAAAAAGCCTAAGCACGACTGGTTGAGGTGGTTTGATTATGAGAGATTAAGAGTTTCATGCCGCATGCCCCGTATGCCCCGCCCGGAGTTTTCATGGCGTGTGCATCTCTAAGGAGCCAACTACCTCCAGGCCGCTTGCGTTGCAGTGCGCTGCTGAACCGTGCGTGCCTTGCTTCGAGCAGTGCGGCAGGGGTTGGTGATATGGAGCAGGTGGAGCAGGTGTAGTGAGGAAAGCTTGGGGTGAGTATGCACGGTGATGGTTCTGCAAAGGTGACTTGAACAAGAGTCTTGCAAACAGATTATAGTGGGTGAGAGCACCATGAGAGGAACTGCCTTTTGTTTTTTGCGTCCTCAAAGGAATAAGTGATTCTAGGAATGAGTGGCTTGAAGCCCACGGTTTTGTGGCTTGAAGAGCCAACCATTCCGCATGGGCGGTTGAGCGGAGCGTTTAGCGGAGTGTGAAGTGCCGAGTCTTTGAGGCATTGCTACGTGGGCATGGGTCAGCTGCATGCGGCCCTTGAGGACATCCAGGCGATCACGGAGGGTCATCGAGGCGGCATGACTCGACGGGGGAGGAAGGGCATGACTCGAGGTGTGGCGTCAGTGACGGGGGTTGTCCGAAGTGGGCTGGACAGGAGAAGTGGGCGTTTTCTTGATGTGGATGATTGAGTGATTGAGAGGGATCAGTGTAAACATGTGTGAGCCAAGAGTGAGCCAGAGTCGTTGAGTTTGAAAGAGATCTCCATGTCGTTGAGCTGATGAGTTCTGGACCAATTTTGCCCATGTCCATTTCCACCTGAGTCAACTATAGGTTCAATGGCTTTGAGAGTGGACAAGCGACGGACATACCTTGGACCATCTTGTCCTCTCTTCCTCACCGATGAGAAATGCATTTCTTATCGCCTTGTCCCCTTCTTCACGGACATATCTTGGACCATCTTGTCCTCCCTGGCATTTGGGGCATCTCAGGGGAGAAAGGTGAGGATGGCTTTGATGCGCGCCAGTGGCACAAGGCGAGGCACAGAATGGAGTGATGGACCATCATGAAAGCCTTTGGAACTGGATATTCGGATGCCGCAGAAGTTGATTTTCCCCCTTGACCGTTTGGGCTCATATGTGGCTTGTGAGTTTGGGTCACGGACTGTCAATCTTGCTATGCCGCCTCTGCCAACAAGACGGCCAACATCAAAAGGCCAAAACTATAGTGGCTAACATCACTTCAAACAAGTCCACACCGGCTATATAGGAGCTCCCTTTGCTTCTTTGTTGGGGGATCCAAGATCACATCTGGAACACCAACCTCTTATCCTTGACTTATCATACTTATCTCATTTGAACACCAACCTTATCCTTGACATTTTTCATTTGAACACCAACCTAACCAATCCTTGAAAACCATCTCATGCCCGTTGAAGGTCTGGATGTCCCGCGGGGGGATCCATCGCAAATTGGCGCAGCTCACTGCAGACCCTGCGGAGTCCGCGCGACTCTACGCGCAGGCCGACCGTCCGTCGATCGGTGTGTGGATCGATGTTGGGAGACCACTGGTGTGGAGACCACACAAACGCTCCGTTCGGCCGAGTGGCCCCTGAAAACTTGAAGAATTGAGATCCCCAACCCATGTGCTTTGGCCTGTTTTTTGGATGTGTTTGGTACTTCGAAGGGTCAGCATTTGGGCACGTATGTACCTGAAGCAAGTCGGCTACGACTACCGACATCCAAGTGTCGAAGACATCGCCGGATCTTCCAAACTCCAGCACCACGGAGGACCCGGGTGTCCATTCATAGCCCCGAAGGACGAGGTGATTCCGGGAGGGGTGTGTCCATGTCTACCCGGTGTCCAGGAGGTCCAAAAGTTGGGTGCGGTCTGTGGATCATTGGTGCGTCGATCTATCTGCCGCCTCCAAAGACTCTGTGGAAAGGTTTGGGAGAGTCTTGGGGTGGTGAAGAGTAATTTGGCCGTTAGAATTTGCCCTACCAAATGGGAGGTCTTGGTCTATATATAAGACCTCCATTTGATGAGCAAAACAACTGTTGACTAGAAATTGGATGGTCATTTTGTAGGGATGGCCAGATAGACTGCCAAGAAGAGCCTCGATGAACTGGAGCTGTCTTCCAAGGCTTGGATAGACTCCCTGAAGAGTCTGAAGCGACTTCTTTGTGGCCTCCTACTTTGGATGGGGTGAAGTATATTGAGTCGTACGATTTGCGCACCCCGCATGCCTGGCACAGTGACCTTTTTCATTATGACATGATCTAGTTCATGCTCCACCATGCTCCAGCGTGAAGCCAACGCCGTGCTCCTCCAGTCGAAAGCTGACTACGAGTACGTGCTTCTGATTCAGCTCCTTGGCACCGTTTCGCGGAGCCGAGACGCGCTCCGCGTCAGTCGTGAGGGGTAGAGAGGTCGCCCCGTTGGTCGCGCTCGGCGCGTTCTCCTGGGCGGTTGGAGCGGTCGCGGCTGGTCTTCTCAGAATTGATCCAAACAATTCAAAGCGGGCACTGCCAACTAGGTGATCCGCTGATGAGTGGTGAATAACAACCTCCTCTTATTCCGAAAACCGTGTTACAGTGTTACACACCTCACTTAGCAGGGTTCTGGAATGTGAAGGGTTCACTGTCAGGTCAGAGAAGCAAACAACTGTTGCAGGGATTCTGATTGTTGAACCATACCGAACCTCCCAATTCGATCCAATTTGAACCATAATTATTGAAACTCTTGTTACTTGCCATCTAAAAGAAACCGATCCTGGGAGCTTGGACCATCTCCGAAGGCTCCCGGTCCAAGATCGAGTCGTTTTTCTTGGGCACCTCGCTCAACTCTCCAGGCCGCCGAACGAGAGCTACGTGGCCAAAGCGCAGCGTTGCTTACAGCAGCTGGCGCAACGTGACACAGGCGCAAGCTCTCGAGCTGCCTGTTTCGACCGAAGCCACAGGTGTCCGATGGTTGGTCCGGTGGTGACCGATTTGCTTGGCAGCGATGGACGTTGGGATGGAGCATACTCCTTCAAGTCCTTCCATGTCCTTCTCCAGTTTGGTCGATGGAATTTCATGGGCCTCCAATCCAGTCCATGCCAATCCTGCTACCCACTGTTAGCCCAGAAGTAGTCTGTAGATGTCTATAGGGTTAAATTAAATATTGGTGACTCTTTGGACAGTGCCCATGCATCCATACTTTACCCTTGCAAGCCCACATGAATTGGCTGGAATTTTGGTGACCAGAAAGGTGTGGAGTGTGGACATAGGAACAATGGCAACATCATCGGGTTGAGGACAGCGGAAGTGGAAACTGAGAATATCACTGCTGCAAATCAATGAAGGACATGATAGGACATGTTGCTCAGAACTCGGCAACTTCTACATGTCCATGCAGTTTTGTTCAATCTCTCACATGTGCACATTCTCAGACTTCGAGCCGATTTGGGGACCTGACAAGGCAAAGCTCGAGAAAGTGTGGATGGCAAGGGCAATCAGGCGGGACTCCAGCTCTTTTGCTGCATTATTAGTTTGAACGATTTTTGGCTGTCGCGATCAATGGCCGAAGAAGTACGAGAAAAAAAATATCAACTTAGAGAATGATTTGGCCATTGAACTCAGCATGAATGAGCTGCAGCTTGCCGGAAGAATGGACTGCTCAGCTCAACCGGACCAGAACAAACCGTCCGCCTCGGCTGCTGGACGACCGCTCGGCTGGACCGGGCAGGCCGCCTCCCCAAGCTCGCCCTCGCCCAAGCGGCGGCGCTTGTCAGCCTCCAGGAGGGTCAACTGCTTCGCGCTTGGGGTTGTTGCGCGCACATGCGCGGGCGCTTTCAGGCGGTTTCAGGCGACAAACCGTGAATTTGGGAGGGAGATGTAGGGCGTTTGAAACGAAGCAAGTCAACCACATCAAGACTTTCACTATACCCTCTCTCACGTTACGTACTGTAGGTTGTTTTGCAAGAACTATGTATACATGTCAACACAAAGCCAACCAACTCAAGATGTTTTAACATTGTTTGTAAGTCCTGTAAGTCAACCCATTTTTTTTGCTGAAGTGCTTTGAAGAGCTCCAACGGCCATATCCTACTTGGGGTCCTCTACGTTACAAGTCATGCCAGGATGTTGTTTGGTATCCTAGAGATACACTCTGGGAAGATTCACATGGAACCGAACCTCAAACGTGACCTGCGAAGACGTTCGCTTCCTCCGCAAACCAAGAAACATGCAAATCATTGGTTCTCAGGTTCAACTCGGGGTAACCCGACATGATTCGGGTGAGTTGATTCGGCTTGGGCCTCACCGAAACATCGCGTTCGGGGGAGTTCTCCAGGTTCACCGTCTTGAGAATGATCTAGCGATGCTGCTGCCAAGAGATCCCTCCAGAAATCGATGGAGATAACAAAGAGAACTCCGAATAGGAGAATTGCGTAGTAAACGCTGCAGGGTTTAGGGTTTAGACTGGTGAAAGAGCTTCTCATCATGTTTTGCTGGTGGGTGTGTCTGGACCGTCAGCTGGACCGTCCAGTCAGCAGGGTATAGCATATCTGTCTGGACTGCACCACGATGTGAGTGGTGATGTGAAAGCGGTATCAACCTAAGTAGTGGAAGTTCTGATCCAGGGTGATGAAGTATTTAGGTTGATAGAATGGGTGATGAACTACACCTAAATAGTAGTTGTGGCTTATGAACATGAGCTATCCTGGATTTGTTCCTGTTCTATCAGGTGACGACGTAGAGCCTGTATGGCAAAGTGACTGAGATTTGCTGGCGTCAGCTCACTTCACATCCAGTTCACAGATCCACAGGTCGTCAAGGGCGACTCCAGTCTTTGTGCACTGACATGTTTCCATATATGTTACATATGTTGTGAATCTAGTCTAGCTCATGCAGATGGTTCCTCAGTAGTCCCCTGAGTAGTACTCCCAAAGAACATCAACACAACAATATATAGCTCTCGTGCTTCTTCAAGCCGACCAAGGATTTTCAGAGGACAAGTGGCCCCAAAATGAAAAGAAAGGACACCCAGGAAACTCCACCTGGACCCCCAGTCGGGGTGGTAGGTCCTGTGACCTCTTACTACGGGGCTAATACTTAATGGACACCCATTCTGTGGTGCTGGAAGAGGTTTATCCCGCAGTGAGTCACCCCAGTTCTGCCTCCCAGGAGCCGCTCCCGCTCCCCGGCGCCGGCACCGATCGTGCCCGCGCTGTCCACGGTGCCCGCAGTGCCCGCGGTGTGTGCTGCGGCCACGGTGCCTGCCACGGCGCTGGACACGCCGGCCACGGGTCCGCGTGCGGGGTCCGCCTGTGCAGCGAAAGCGCTGGAGGTGATGATGGGATGGGGCGAGAGGATCCGGGCCCCAAGAAACTTAAGATGAGAACCACAGACAAAGCAGCAAAAAGCCGGGTTTGGTCAGATCTAATTCATTGGTCCGTGGTTGGTTCAGCTAGGGCATGTCAACCCGAGATATGTTTTTATGTTGAAGGGCCAATCTGATCATGGGGAGGGGGAAGGGGAGGCGGTTGTTCAACCCCTTAGGACCTCGTGTTTGAGTTGTTTTCCATTACAACATCGGGCTGCTGGTGGGTATTTACTGGAACCATATGCCGCACAGTGAATCTATTTCCTAGTTGGTCAGGATTATACCTAGAGCAGATGGGAGTAGAGAAAGAAATCACTCTGAGATTTCCGCTTTTCTGCAAGAGACTCACAAGACCTTGGAGAGAGAACCCGGCCCAATCCTGTGCTGAACAAGAGCTTGACGCGCCGAACAAGCACTCGACTTTCCAGCCATTGGGTGCCTGTGTAAACTGGAGCATGGTGGCCCATAGTGGCTTCCAAAAGACCAACATGTTGGCAATGTCTTTTTCAGCTTTGGCACCCTTTTCAGCTGTTGGGGTGATGCCGGTGATGCACTTCGACGCCATCTATGCACCTTCGACGTTCCGGCTCCACGTGGAGGCCTTGGGCGAGGAGTGCGTGGCCGCCGGCCGCCGGCTCTTCGAGGAGGGCGCGGTCACCTGTCTGAAGGAGCCGCGGGAGGACCGGAGGCGCCGGGGCCTGATTGGGCGTTGGTGGGATATGGGGGGATGCGGATGAATGTGGATGAAAGGAAGCAGTGAGGTGTCTGATGTGCTGCAATTGCATGGTGTTTGTTGAACTTTTGGTACTCAGGCGCTGCCGTGTTCGCAGTTGCTTTGTTTGGATCGGGGATCCCAGTTGCCATGAACAAATTACAGAGCCAAGAAGTTCCATTGGGTGATATGGATGTTGCCTTTCTAGATCTGATGGAACTGCTGGACCTTTCCAAATTGACTGCAGTTAGTCAAACATGGTCAAACTATGTCAACATAATATAACAATATGTGTTGGTGGACAAGCTGTCAGAGCAGCACGAGAAAATGAAACCTGTCGTGTTTGTACACAACTGGTCATTCAGGGATAGACATGGAAAATGGTCCCCTAAGATTGAAACGGTCCATGTTCCATCTCAATTAATTGACCGAATTTCTGGAATCTCCAACAGCAACTTGCCCAACGTTTGTCTCGAAACTTTCCAAGCTTCCCTCCAATACATCCCTCGTTCTTTCAACTATCTCCCAAACTCCTGTGACACAGACCATCATGCCTATATCGGCCTCCCTTCTTTTGGTCTGCACCCCAAACACCACAAACCGCTCCAGCCTCGCCACCCCAAACACAAACCGCTCCACACCGACCCGACCTTCGATCTCGGTCGCCACCCGCCAGGCGCTACGAGGTCCTGGTGCTGGGGCTCCCTGAACTCGTCGAGCTCCAAAGATCCACAGCTCCTCGGGTCACACGCACCAAGCACTCGCCCCCGCGGGGTCGGGGTCGGGGTCGGTGAGGCAAATGAGGCCGACCTGTCCTGCTGTCAATTGATTGAAGGATATTGAAGGTGTTTGAAGGTCATAGAGTCATACACACATCAGTACACTGTGCATTGATGGTTGGATGGTGCCACCATTTGTTGAGCGGATCAAAGTGAAGAACTTCTCAAACTTCCATTCCTCGGAAGCACTGCACCAGGGCCCAGGCTGTTGATTCTTGATTGGACAAAAAACCTATCTTTCCACGCAGTCTCGATGGCTATGATGGAAAGGAGGCACCATCTTCGCGGGTGCGGGGTGGAGGTCTTTGTGAAGAACTGGGCATATTTAATAAATCATATTTACACAGTACCAAATACTATGATAGCTTCGACAGGGTCTGATAGGTTATGAGAAAAGCATTGTATTCGCACTGATGCACTCATTTGGATAGGTCTGATATGGTGGTCTGATACTACTGGTAGTAGGGGAAGCCAACGAGAGTTGATATGCGACTCAAAGAGCTGTCCTTGGGCCGTGTGAAAGTCTTTTTTGTTTGTCTGAAGATGTGTTCGGTCTGATGGGAGAAACCATTGTTTTTGGAAGCCAGAAAAAACACGGCAACGGCTGTGTCTCTCCGTTCTTACCTGTAGAGCCGTCGGTACACAAGCACTATTTCAGAGATGGCCTGCAACTGAACCGTCATCATCATCCACAGTCACTGAGTTACTGAGGTTACTGGCGATTCCTTTCCATTAGGCTGTTGGTACGTGAATACTGACCAACTGTCTGGAAGTGACATCCACTGGGCCCTTAGTGGACAACATCCACTGAACGGGCCCTGGTCATGGGATGTCGACCCGACCGTAACGGTTAAGGAAGCTGTTTCTCTTCCATGCCCAGACGCTCCATAGGATCATAGGGGTGGTTTCAGGGGTCAATGTAGGCATATATGCCATACATGGAGTGTTTGGGATGGCTTTGCATTTCTCAGGACTGGTCTGGCAGCTGCAGTTGTCGACTGAACTCCCACTGCAAGCATGTGGCGGCAGCTCTTTGCGCGGAACAGGCATGGCAGGCGAGGACTGCATGGGCTCATCATCACCAAGCTTTTCAGAAAGGATCACGGTGGGTTTGCCGAACACCTGCATGATTCACCGTGTTCGCCAGGTTCACTTGAATCAAAGCACCGGCGGGGTGCAAAGACCCTGTGACTCAGCATGATGTGCAAGTCAGTGTGAGAAATGGGACAGACAGGGTGTCTTGTGATGTAAACACCCCCTGTTCAAAATCGCAGACACCCCACGCCCGTTCAAAAACGACCCCATCTGCTGAAAAGTGCCGGGCCGTTACTTGGGGAAAAATCCTGGAAAAAGGATGGGACAGTGATAGGATGCGTTAGGTGTAACAGATGGACACTCCATGTATGGCATATTTACCTACATTGACCCCCAGTCAACAACCACCCCAACTGATCGGTAAATATGACAGTCCCATGGAGCGTCTAGGACAGATGGAGCACGCATTGACCCCATCCTTTGGAGCTGGTTTTTCCGTCAGGCCCTCGAACAGCGAACTAACTGACCGACCATCCATCTGAATCCCAGACCATCCTGGAAGAGTTTGAATTCACGTATCACTTATATAAACCATTTACCCTATCCAAACGACCCATCCATGTAGGTCCACACTCTCCACCCAGACAGCTCCTGTTTGGGAAGAACCGCTCCGTTCTCTTCTCCGATTTGCCCGACACCCGCCACCCGTGACCCGCAAACCGCTCCGGTGCCGGTGTTCAAACTGGTCGACCGGTCTCTGGCGTTCCGTTCAAGTGGGGAAATGGGGATGGTGATGGAACTCATCCCGAGGGGTCGGGGATCCGGATTGCAGTTTTGCTCTGTGAGGGGCCATTGACACAGACCGAACTGCAATTCCGATCGGGGATCATCCCAGTTCTCAGATCCCTTTGAGGGTCTCGGTCTTCGGGTGATGAACAGAGTTTGGACGGGGAGAGCGCCATGAACCGACGGGGCGCGGGTGTATTCCTGGGGTGTGTCCCAGAATTGGTTGAAGAAGGAACATCTACAGGACAGATCAGGAAAAAGCCATAGTTTGGGGGGGTGAAACCAAGGGTTTCCTGCAGATTTTCCTTAAACCAATTCATTGAGTGTGTTTGGTTGTTTGGATCTATTTGGATCCACTGTGATCCACTCTTTGCGGACTCGCTTTGACAGGAGAGAGAGCTGCAAGAGCTGCAAGCAGCAGAACCGCAGGCGACCGTGTGTTTTGGGTGAAAGGGAAAGAGGAAGCGCAAACCAGATCTTTTCTCCAACCTCGTAAAAGGATGACCCTTAACAAGACCCACACACAGGCAAGCTGGGTGCAAATGAGCTTTGAAGTTGAACTACCAGGACCCTCCAAGGGGGTCCAATGAACTACCCCCACACTACCTATAGGCTTCCAGACAGGGCACCCCGACTGGAGGGTCCAGGTATTTGGTGCTTCTACGATCCTTCTTTTTTCATGACTTATGATCTCCAACATGAAGCCTAATTAGGCCTAGCGAGGTCAACTCCAATGTGGAAAACCGGAACCATCCGCACCATCCGGCCCTCGCTTCTTGGAACCTGGAACCGCGAGTCCACAAACGCATGTGACATGTGTGCTGAGAAGATACTATAAGCTGCAGCCTCCAAACCGATCCCTCCTCCCAAAACGACCTACAACACACGGAATTCGTTGGAGCCTACCACCATTCTGCTTCAACCATTTGCGAACCAGTACCATCCAGTACCCAATTTTCATTTGTGTCAAGCAAGTGGAATGATATTGCTTGACGTAAGAAATCTATTTTTTCCCCACTCATTGCACACCTGACAGACGTGTGCCCCGCAGAAACCAATATGTGCCGGCACGTGGTTGGCGCTTGTCGGCGGCACCGGTTTTTTTGTTTTTGTAGACCTAGCTCCTGGCATCGCTACGAACCGAGCGATCGGACGCTACGAACGGGGCGAAACTGGCATCGCTACGAACGGAGCGATCGAACGCTACGAACGGGGCGAAACTGGCATCGCCACGAACGGAGCGATCGGACGCTACCTCAGGGTGGGTCAGGAGGTCACTCGCCACTGACTTGGCGTGGTTTCAGATCCTCCCAAGACTTGGGGATTTTCTTCCGTCAGCTTGCCGTGGAGAAGAACGTTCTGATGACTGGTAGGTGTCCACATTCCGATGGAGCTCGGGACCAATCTTTAAATAGCAGTTTTGAGCAGGGCCTCCAACCTAAGAGCAATGGTCTCCACATCGTTTGGAATGATAAATCTGATCTAAAGCGATCTCTATAGGTCCAACCGATCTTGGAAGACCTCTGCAGAGCCGTCAATGGCGGTCTTCCTTCCTTCCAAGAGCTGGGCTGTTCACCCCCACGGAGGAGTCGTCCCGTTCGCTTGCCCCACAGGTTGCTCGTAGAAGAGTCCTTGTTTTCACAGGCGTGCAGGCGTCCGGGAAAGCCACAAGTGGATTGGAAGAGATTTGTCCAAGCTATATACACTCTGACTCACTAACATGGAAGTGGAAAATGGTCCCTTGGAAGACTACTTTCCTTTACGAACAGGGGGTTTTCCACTTCCATGTGATGTGTTCGTCGGAGTGTACTCAGCTACCAACATTTCAGTGTCAGTTTCTCCAGAGGATCACCCATCCAGACGAGCCCCAGTGTAAAGATTTCTTAAATGTTTGTTTCTTCATGTTTCTTCTATGTTCTTCAGTTTTTGTTGGGAAAAAGAAAGACAGAGTGGCAAACCAGGTGGAACCAAACAAGGTTTTCCTCCTTCCTGCCACCGCCGCGGTCTCCGTCGGTCAACGAGCGTCGGAAACGCGTCGCCCAGGCGAGTGTGGCCAGTGAGCGCCGTACGAGCGGTGCAACCGCTGCGAGCGCGAGCGGCTGGCGCTTGGAGGTGCTGGCAAGGCGGCTCGAGCGGAAGACGCGGCTTGGAACGATCCAGGATGATCCAGGAACAAGTAGCTTCAAAGAACAGTAGCGTCCTTGCTCCTAGTAGCAATAATGCTACTAGTAGCTTCTTGTTACTACAGGTGAAACGATTCCCAGTGAAACGATTCCCAAGGAAGCTTCTAGCTCCTATAACATGTGTTTTTTGCTAACATGTCCTCAGGACATGTTCCAAGTGGGTCATGGTATAATGACTCATGTAACATACCTTAGAACTATGGGAGAAGACCACAGTGCGGATGAACTGACCAGTTGTGTGACACCCTGGTGACTCTAGTGGCGCCCATGCAGGTGCCTCAAAACTTAACAATAAACGAACAAGCCAACAAGCCAACAACCAAATCCAACAACAACAGCAGCAGCAACAGCAACAACAACAACAACACCAACGCCAACAACAACAGCAGCAGCAACAGCAGCAACTACAACAACACCAACGACAACAACAGCAGCAACAACAGCAACAACAATAACACCAACACCAACGCCAACGCCAACAACAACAACAACAACAACAACAACAGCAACAACAACAACAACAACAACAACAACAACATGTGTTTCTATCACACTGTATCCTATGGGATGCCACCCTTGTCTTGCCGTGGACCCTTGTGACCAAACATCTACCTCCTCGTTGCGCGCGGGCACGTGGCTTAACTCCAATCTGTTTCTTTTCATGGCAACCAGAATCGCCGACCGTCCGTCTCGACCGTCCGTGGGACGCTTCTGTAAAGAGGCCGCCACGCAGATCGATGATCGATGATCGATGTGGGGACGACAGCATAAGGAAACACATCGCAAGAAAAGGGAACACATCGCACAGGGGAGATCCGATGCCAATCCTTGTGACTGGTACCCCAAAGAGCATGGTTTTGCATGGCCAGATCGATGCAAGTCTCTCCTGCGTCCGTTTGCCCTGAGAAAGTAGGTTTGGGAGGTTCCGAACAACAAAGAAGCAACCATTTCACAGTGCCGGGCAGTACCAGCAAGTTGGCCCAGCACTGTGGGTTCCTTCCAAAAGGACATCCAGCGAGTTGATGGTCGTTCCAGCGACCATCCCCTTGGCGTTCTTCCTTCTCCCCGGGACGACTGGTGTGGTGGAACGTCCGGAAACAAACTGTTCGGATTCGCCGAAATCAATGGAACCACGTTGAACCGGTTCAGACTTTAAGACCGCAGTGACTGCGCAGTTCGACGATGTGCTGTTTGCTGTGACTCCTCCAACAGAGAGGGTAAAAAAGAAGTCTCTACAATCACTGACAATCACTCTACTGCTTGGACCCTCTGACAATCTCTGACACATTGTTCAATTAGTTACGTATGTCTTACTTGCAATTTGTAAGCATTGTTGGATGTATTTCTCGACCCGACCCCTGTCGACAAATAGAATAAGTATGGACAACAACATATACAGTGTGCATGACTGACGCAAAGCTTAGAGATGAAGGGAGCATGCAGTGGATGCAAAAAAACATCCTACAAATTGTTTTTTTTTTTTTTTTTATGTCTTGCAGTACTTGCACTTTGCAAGCATTGTTGAATATATATAAATAATATTTCCCACCCCCTTTCAATAATTGTACATTTTTGAGGATGTCCAATGTTTTTGGGCAGGCATTTTGTGCAATCAGCTATACTACACAAGTGCAACCAGCTGGTGCATATGATGCAAACATGAAAGATACACTAAGACATAAACTGTGGAGAGGAGTCGTTTGTTTGCCTTTCACGGGCCTGGTGAGGCAAACGATCCGATCATGAGAAAATATGAGGCACAAGTCAGACATAGATGATATGTGAAAACCATGTTTTTCCCCATGTTTTCTCTCCCACTCCCACTCCTCTCCCAGACACACCTCATGATGCAGGATATGCTTTTTCGTTCCCAAACAAAAAGGCACCCCTAGCTAAAGCTATATAGAGATGAATGCGCTCCAACAGAATTATGACCTTTGGTGCAGGTGGATTTACGATGCCTAATTTGGTCGTCCCATGAAGTTATCCCTTTTTGATGAACCTCCTCATGGCCAAGTCAATTGCAGTCCAGTGGTTTCAGAATAGATGCCACACACTCAAAGATGTCTTCTATATCATGATCCACAAAACCAACTGACCTTGTGGATTGTGCCATCTACTATTGGGGCACATGCCGGGGATCGACTAGTCTCTCCGGCGGATGGTTGGAATTCAAACATGCAAGGGCTTGATGATGTTTGGTGAGAGAAAGAATCTGTTTGTGCAACGCTTCGTCCCGTGGGTACGTAAGATCTTTGCAGGTCGGTATTGGCCCGGAAGTTGGAAAATGAATTTTTGCCCGCCTTTGCAGAGACGACATGCGCCTCGTTGCTCGCAGCGCAAACGAACATCCCTGCATCACAGCACGGTTTCGCAAGTCGCACGCATGGACGAACAGTTTCTGATTTCTTATTTGATCAAGCATTGTGGCGTTGGAGAGCTGCCAACAACTCCAGCGGGCCTGGCTGTTTGAGCGTTTCATCAGGCTAATAGACCGCAAGGCTCGGCACAGCTGTTTCTTCACGTTGCGCGCGCAGAGTCATATAAGTTGCCACAGAAATTTCAACGTGACTGGCATAAATCCGTCGGCTGTCATGGTGGAGCTGGCGGGGCTCGAGACATAGTTCCATCGGAACGGAACGGTGCAAGATCCTCCGCAGAGTTGCGTTCTGTTGATTGAGTGAGAACGGTGAAGTCGGGTAGTTTGATGTACTGTTTGTTTGGAGCCGGTCGGCGAAGGACACAGGACTTTGATATTATGGGCAGGTGTTTTAGCAGCAGTATAGGATGTGCACAAGCAACGTCATTAGCCTGGTTTACCCTTTGCTTGCGCATGTCGGCAACGTAACTTTTCTGTCACTCAAGAGTGAAGATAGAACTCGGATCCTTGTTTTGGTGTGGTTGGTGTAGTGATGTCCTATCAACAAGTTTTCGGAAACATTGTTGCAACAAAATCCCATCCTCAGAGGCGTTCACGCGCTCAGAGACACTCAACCTCTTATATCATTGAACTTACCCGGAGCCCAGGTACCTCCTGAGGATAGTCTTGGTACCCCTGAGGATAGTCTTGGAGGTGAGTCTTTGGGGGAAAAGGGCATCTTCAGGATGGTCCTGGACCTTTAATTAGGGCTAGTATGGGCTAGTAGTTGATTTGGAACCAGGTTGCACAAGAGAGGGGGTCTCAGGCAACAACAATGAAATTACCGTACTTCAAGTGAACCTAGTCTTGGTCACCAACATAGCAGCGATCAGTGGTCAAGAGTGCCCACACATCCAAGGAACGACGAACTGAAAAACTATCTCAGGCGGGGTGCGTCATTCAGTTTCGGCCCACAAGGCGTCACGTGACGGTTCGTGGGTAGTGGGTTGGGTCACAGGCGTGCATTTCCGCCACTTAGTGTGATCCTTCCCAACACCAACTCTTACCTAAACCATTTTACAGTCCTTCAACCCATCAATGGGCACGTCAATATCAATACAACCTCACGTCAATATCGCCCACCATGGCAAAAACAACAAAGACATCAACAAACATCCGCATCATCATGACTTCTGCCAGGTTTTTCGGACCAGATCTCATCATTTTCTAGACCCTCCACCTAAACCACGCCAACCCCCCACATGGCCAACCGCCGTCCAGGCTCAACGGGCAACTGCTGAGCGGTGCAAAGGGTGACTTAGCGCAGCGCCTCGCTGAAGCGACGCTCTACGGAGCTTTGGCACCCTGTGCCTTTGGAAGAAGTGCGGTTTGGGAGGGTTTTGGGATGGAGAGTGAGACGATACTAGACTAGACAGGCATTTTTGGGGGGGAGAGAAGTGAAGGAGTGACGAGGAGTGGGGAATGGGATTGAGGGGAGACTCCGGCAGATGAGGATGGACGTCACATAAGTTGAACACTGGAGACAGGGGGCTGTGGCCGTTATTTTGTTGAAAACTATCCTGGAGTCTTCGAGAGAAGCTGCACAGTTCCCGCCTTCCAAAGGGTGGTTCATGGCTGTTCGTTCTTTCGTCAAAAAGCCTGCAGGTATTTCTTGGGCCTCTGAATCCAACTACATCCTTGTATGGTACCTCATACCATACCTCTCATAGACCGTTGAAGCATGTCGAGTCTATAGATCCCGTGCGGCATCCACCGAAGTGTCCTCCCTGCCGCCTCCGTCCTCTTTCACGTCGCACCGACTGTGTCTTAGGCCCTCGGTGCGGTGGACATTTGCACCCCGAAGAACCCTCTGTGGCTCCGGACACCCTGTGCCCGCCCCCGCGCCCGGAGCGCCGCCCGGAGCGGCAGAGTCGGACCGGAGGAGGGTGGGGTTTTCGGCGCCCGTGGCGGTGCTGCAGAGCTTTTGTGAGCGGCGTTTGCACGGAAGCGCGGTGCGCTGTAACGGGACGTGTGGTAAACTGCAGGAGAAGTTGGATTCTGGCAGGATTTGGGGGGCTCAGTTGTATTAGAGAGAGAGAGAGAGACTGACCAGTTCGGAGCCCAGAAGATCACCTCAAACAGCTGTATTTAGTCCTGGACAGTCCTGGTAGAAGCAGCAAAACATTACGGTTGGAGGTTTCGGGTGCGGAATAACATCCAAAACCGACGCGTGTTCCAACTATTTTGATCAATTTGTGCACCCCATACTCCCGAGAAGTAGAATGTTTCAAAACTCAAAGGGCACAAACTTCTGGTGATTTGTGTGATTTCTACGTATAGTACGTAGTGGATATTAACCCCTATATAGTTTGTATTAGTTTGATTTAGTTGAATTTGTATTAACTTGTATTTTGTTCATTTATCTTTATTTTATATGCCAGACATCACCAGAAATCCGACGATCTTTTCCCACGATCATCCACTGACCTCGCATGACCTCGCCCCCCTTTCTCCCACTCACCTCTGAGAGAAGTCTCCCATCGCTGCAGGTACTACTGCAAGCGCCAGCTCCGTGATCGCGAAGCCTGCGGCTATCAGGCCCTGATCAAGCGGTTCAGAGAGGGGCTTCATGTCGGGGGGGTGCTCGGTAGTGCTTCTTTTTTCGCTTCAGAGTTCTTAGATCGTACCGGCACAAGGACCCCCTTCAGGTTGGTGGTTTATATGGTTTATGTGGACCCCCATCTGTCTAAGTCCTCTTTGGGTGCCAGTGTCATCTACTCTGAAACCACTGTAGATTTATGTCAAGTGACCCGAAGACAACCACTTGTTCCTTTGGAGAGGTCACCATCCAGGAGTCATCATCAGTCCCAGTGGCGCTGTCTCCGAGGGCCGAGGGTGAAACATATGGCTGAAAAAGGGATCACAGTGCTGTCTCGTTTTTTGTTTAGCTTTTACTTAGGGCTTTTGGATGGCACTCGATGTTTGAGCCATGTCCACTCCACTGACGCGACATGGAGGTCTAAAGGATGGGAGATTACAACGATGGATTTGCCTATACGTCATTACTGCAGTATGATGGACATCAAAGTGGACATGAATATGATGTAGACATTCATATATAGATTTCCACTGCAATCCAGCTGAACTGGCTGTCATGAAGCCTCGGTTTAAACGGTCATGAATCGAACATGATTATGCAACCATTGTTTGTGTGTATAGCTCAAATAGCCAGTTGCTCGGGGTCTCCCCATTTAAATACACACTGATTTTGTTGTTGGTCAGTTCAGGGCAGCCTGCAGCTTGAGGTAATGAGACAGATAGCCAGTACAGATGTGTGCAAATGAGCAGGTCAGACAAACCATTATGAAACAAAGCAAACTTGGCAGGTCATGACCTGGGTGGTGTTTTCAAAAGTACTTAAATGTTCCATGTCGGAATAATGACCGAATTTGTTCATCCTGCACCAGCCAGGAATTCTTGTGCCCAGACTCTAAAGGAACTATGGTTTTTGAGGCCTGAGTCAACTCTTTTTGATCCCCAACGTGCATTTTCCGATGCTTTTGAACAAGCCCTGAAGCCCTGAAGTTGTAGCTGTGCCCATGCTTCAGCCGCCGATGAACAACGCCTTGGCAACGTGTACGTGACACTAACGACCCACTTACGGGCACCTCCGAAGATGACGGCACCTGCAGGGGCACCTGCGGCACCTGCTTGTATAGTGTCCCATTTTCCAGGGTACTTTGGAGGGTTCAGGTGAATCAAATCACTCCAATCAAGGCACCATGAAGAGTCGCGCCAGGCTAGTGGACCAGCAGCTTCCACTTGCCAAAGTTGAGTTCGACATGGAGAACACAAGAACACACATTGATATTGTTCTTCAATTCTTGCTACTCATTTTGAATAGAACATTCGTTTTGTAGCTCATTGTGAGATCACAAGGCCATAGTGGAGAACACATAGGAGCAAGAAGCTAACGGGGCTCCTGGCCTAGTAACACTAGCGATCGGACACCATTGGCCCAGGCCGCCGGTCGAGCGGTGGAGCGCAGGCCCTTCTTAGGCGCGAACCGGCGAACCGGCGAACCGGCAAACGGTCCAGGTGCGGTGTAGGCCGTTCGGGCTCCAAGTCATGTAGGCTCTGGATTAAGCCCCCCAAACCAAATGGGGAGATGATAAATGAATCAAGAGTCTACCTGACTTGGCTCCAGTCGCGTTGCGGTATGGGTACGACCCCTTGGACGGGTTTTTGGGATGAACGAACACACAGCGGCTTTTGGACCCAGAAGACTCGGATGTGGAGGATGAACATTTAGATGTTGGCCGAGATCGTTCCACGTTTTTCTTCTGGGGTTCCATCTATAGTGATCGATGTTGATCGATGTTGATCGGGACTTTGCAACTCTAATTATCTTTTGGAAGCAAGCATCTCAGTCTGGTGCATATTTACATATTGTAATATATTTACTATCAACTTGGTCAAAAACTGTAAGCTCTTCCATACTAGTCTTTAAAACGGTTTTCTCATCAATGGCATAGCCCGGTAGACACTTGATAGGCTATCGCTGGCAAGATGCTTTGTGTGCCTTGGATTGTCCTCACACTTAGCAACAGTTATCCAACGGCTCCTGAATCTATGACTTTTTTAAGGCTCGAGGAACACACACAGCATTAGATCATCTAATGATATATAACTAATATTAACACTTGTATAGTATTTCAACTCCGGATCATAACTATTAATTCTGGATAGAATCGGATAGAACTTTTATGAACTTTTCCTGAGGCGTCCAGAGTCCAGACACCATGTCTTCCAAAGTAAGGGTCTGTTGGGAGGCCCAAACGGTGAGATCCAAGAAGTGTACATAGACTAGAAGCCCCAGACAAGCATTTCGAACCGATTGCCAGTAGCCATGTTAAACAAAAATTGAACATCGACGTCTTAAGAAGCTGCTTTGCCTCCAGGAATTTGCCATGAAATATCATGAATGGCTCCGTATGAGTTTTTATATAGTGTTCAACGGTTTTTTAAAATGTAAAGCCAGCTCTTCCAGAACCTCAAGCCACTTCTAGAACTGGAAACGGTGATCGGCCTCCCCAAACAGACCAGGTTCCTTGCTCGGCCTCCCGGTTCACGTCGGCTCACTCCAGGGGCCGATGAGCTGCTGCGGGGCCTGCGGGGCTGACCGCCCAAAAAGGGCGCATGCACCGCATGCACCGAACGGGGCGTTGGGTGTTGGGGAGGTCGGTGCGAAACGAAGGAACCGGAGAGATCGAGAGATCGGGCCAGGGGGTTCCAAAGAGGTTGGTCCCTTGTTCGTGTGGATGGTTTTGAGTTGAATCTCTTTGGCTAACTTTTTGGGGGCAGAATTTTAGGAAGATCGATCATGTTGGGCAGTTTACAAGCTTTTTGGGGGGTTATCCATCCCAGAACTATCAGAGCAGGCTGGCTGAGAGGCAATAGAATCCTCCAGCGGGAACTGAGATGTGCTTGAGGAGGTCTCAAGAAACAGAAGCCAACAGCGCAGGGGTTTCCTCAACAGTTCCACTCCCTGGAATCATGTGATTTTTCGTAAAATGGTGACACTTCCATGACGACTCCAGGTGTAAATTGAGTGTAATCTACCAGCACCTTCATGTCGGGGTCACCAATGGACACACTCTTAAGGGACCTCCAGCCTGGACACCCCGAAAGAAGGTCCAGGTATGTGTAACCTTTATAACCTTCAGACTCCTGCGACTCGTAGGGAATGAGGGAATGAACCACCCGGTCGGCCTGGCCCCTCTGGATCCATTGCCATATTCCCTACGAGTCGCACCAGTCAGTGATGTTCCAGGCATTTCCGGTCCCGGGTGAGACTCACCGGTCCCGCCTTGGCCAGGTGCGCCGCGCATCACGCGGATCGTCCAGGCGTGGTGGTAGGGGGCGTCCGGGCGTGGCGGGGTGAAGAACCGTGCGGACGGAGGGATTGAACATGTTTGAACATGCAGCTGAAGTTCTTTTTGTTGGGGGGATTGTGGACCCGACTGGATTTGAACGTTTTTCATCGCCACATGAGACAAAAGAGTTCTCGAAGACAGAAGCAGTACAGCATAGCATCATATAGACATAGTACATAATAATCTGATAACATAGTACATGATAATATAGACAGAAGAGTCCTCGAAAACACAGTAATTATAGTATCATAATATAGAAATATATATATATATATATCATGTCTATACCAGGGCCAGGGTGTGAGATGTACAAGCTCCTCGTCAGGACCAAACACACACACACAAACACAAGGAAAACACATGGATCATCTTCCTAGACCTTCTTTCGGGGTGTCCTGGACCTGGAGGTCCCTGAGTAGATACTGTACCCTAAGTGTCCAGGACCATCCTGAAGATGTCCTTCACTTCGACCATTCAGTGGAAGTACGAACTCACCTCCAAGACTATCCCATATAGGGTCCAGGTACCTCCTTTTCGGATGATGTACGTGTTTTATCATTTTTTCCAAAGACTGCAGACGGAGGCCATCGCTCTTAGCTTGGAGGCCATTGCTATTAGGTCCTTCGTCCAGGTGGTCATCACTCCTGTCGGCTCGGGTGACGTCGGGTCACGTGGCAGCTCCGCGGAGCCACCGCAGCTCAGCGGCTGGAGCTCTTCGTTTGAGACGAGACGAGTGCCGCGGGGCCTGGCTTTTTGGGGAGCTGCCACGGGTATTTGGGTGCCTGCCCCGAACTGGGTGGACTGCCTGCGGCACTTGGAGCCCTAGGGTAACCAAAAAACCTCCAAAAAAAGGAGGGGAACATAATAACATGGTGGGAGTTGGACCGCAGACGTCAAAACCGCAGACGTCACTCAGAACTCGGGGGTCCTGCGGTGGACCGTGGACCGCGTCACGTCCGTTTCAGGTGCCAGAGACTGTCGTAGCACCACCGGCCACGGTACCTTGGCACCGTTTTTGGAAGTCGGCCGCGGGGGCTGTGGAGAGCATGTTCCTTAGCTAGACTTTAGTACAGTTCTGAACTGAAGTTGAAAGCCCATGAGGTTTCAGGAACATGTTTGTTTGCTGTTGAGATTCACACTTTTTTGTCCGTGATGTGTCCATTCTGACTGAGAGCATATAGAGAAGACCGTACAACAAATTGTCGAAGATCTCTCTTTCTAGAGGACACATGCACCAAGCCGATCCTTTTCATCAGGTATGTATCAGTGAAACGAGGAAGGACACATCAAGACTCGACATGAAACGAGAACCCAACTTACCCCCACTCTGCAGCTCAGCCGAAATGGTCTTTCCTGTGCTAGCATGATGGGTCAAACAGGTTCATCTTCGTATTTGTGTGGCCAGCTTTTTATATGTGGCTGTGGGTCCAGCCTCGTTGACATGAACAGAATAGCAGGATTTGGAACTCCAGGTTTGGACCCACAGCCATATTTGCCTGGTTCTTGGCATGTTTCACGCTTAGACCACCGCACTTGGGGGTGTTGAAAGCAGATTCTTAGCAAAGGCATTCGGAGGATCCTAGAGAATTCCAAAATCTTGACCTTTGAAAGACCGCTGAAGGACCATAAGGCTGTCACTGTGAAGAAGTTTACCACACATTCTTGTAGTTAATAAATGCGGGTCCCTAATGATGCCAGGTTCCAAGCCCTTTACTTGTTTCATATCTGAAAAGACAGGCTCCGGCTCCCATTGGCCTCTCGGCTGCAAGCGCTTACGCTGCCGAAAGACCCGCTGCTGAGGTGGTGCCATTGGTTCCACCAGCGCGACGTGCAGCAGAGGAGATGGGCGGATGGGCGGGTGGCGGTAGGACGGATGGCCTTTTTCAGATGCAGGTCAGATGGCCAGAGAACCAAGAGGCCAGATGGCTTGCAAATGGCCTGTGCTGACCACAGGGACAACTACTACCCTCGTTTCTTGACGATGCTGCAGTATGAGGGTATTTCTCATCACAGGCACACCGTCTACTGTATGTGTGCAATAGTAGTAATTGTGTACACAGATATGCAGGTAATAAGTAATGTGACGAGCTGGACATAGTTAGACCAGTGGTGCCTCAAATTGAAAACACCTGAAGACCTGAGTGTATTCTCCAAAAAGTCTCGTTCTTTCTGCGTATTACTTTTGGAAGACCAGGTTGGCAGGTGGGCCGGTGCCAAGATTGCCCATCATCGATCTGTTGATCGGCCGTGGGTGTATACGACGTATACTGAATGTGTCCGTTGGTGTGTCATCCAGACCAGTTGTGCCTTGTTTTCGGTGGGGTTTCCATCACGCTCTTCGCGCTGCCAAGTGCAGACTCCGCATCTCTTTGGTTCGGGGCTCCGCATCCACCGGCCCGCGCCACCAGCGTTGCGCCACTAGCGTTTCGGTCCGCTCGCACCCCACGGTGGAGCACCGGCCCGGCCATGCTGACCTTCACCGTGGCGGCCACCGAAGCGGCCCCTTCGGCGTCGCTGTGGAGAGCTGTGAAGCCAGTTAGAGCGGCAGAGGGACACAGCCAGTTCGATGGACACAGCTGCTCGGACGGAGAAAACTGGGCGGCTGGGCCATGGTCCATGGCGGATTGAGACTGGAGACCGCATTGACTGAAGGCGGATGCACTTTGCAGATGTGCTTGATGTTTTTCGACCCTTCGGCAGTTCGGCAGGGTGGATAGGCATTGTAGAATAGGAGATGTTGACATGTGCATCTTCCCGGACCTGTCCAATTATTGCAAACTCTATGATCTCTATGGCGACTGATGACCGAAGCCAGTGGATCTCAACATATCTCAACAACAGCACTATCAAGGACCAAGAGCTCCCGTTCGGTCTACAGATACTTAGTTTTGGGAACTTGCCATACAAGTGGTAACATGTTCAAACAAAATCCCCTGCAGGTTTAGCAAACTCAAACTCCAAGCACTGAATCCAACCTGCCGTTCGGGCCATTTTGGCCCTTGCTTGCTCACAACTACCGTGGTTTTGGCAGGGTTTTTAGGTGTTTGTTGCAACATGGTGAGGAAATCCAGGAGGGTTGCTACCGGTCAATCCACTCCCAACTACCATGTTGTTCACGCCCGCCTCCGTCGCGGCCGGTGGACCACATTGAGGCCCTCCTGTCGCTGCCGCCCTCCTCGCCGGAACGGCCCTCCTCGCCTCGCCCAGAACCGCCCGGCGTCGAGGGCGTCGGGCACCGGTGTCGGCCACGAAAGGCGCGGTGTCCGGTGGCGGTGGCGAGGGGTCCGGTGCTGGTTGAGTCCGGTATGGGCATGTACTGGTGTGGTGCTATTCAGACACAACAAGGAGTAGGTCAACCAGGCCAACACTATCAACTACGACCATATCATAAGACATGATATTAGTGTAATACTTCTCATCGTAATCATCGTAATTATCAGGAATCATCATCATCATCATCATCATCATCAGCAGCAGCAGCAGCAGCAGCAGCATCATCCCCCTTAGTCCTCATCTTCATCGCTCGATTACACCGCACCGCATCGTTTGACCTCGTGGCATCAGGTGACGAAATCAAGTTTGCCTCCAAAAGCAGCGGCGAGGCCCGTCTCATCCGTGTCGGACCGGCGTGATGAATCCGTCGATCGACATGGAACCTGCAGACGGACCTGCAGATGGTTTTGGTTATATTGGGTTTGCCCTATGACCTGGAACAGTCAGTAAACAGGATCTAAGGTTTATGTTATTATTTGGATTCGGATTGTATAGGTTTTAGTGAGGTCTCTATCATAGCATGCATGCACTGATATTTTGGGATGGACCAGTGGTGAAGTCCTTTGCGCCAAGCCAGGTCAAAATCTCGGTTAAGGATCAAAACCATCCACTGTACTGAACCACCAACCGTAGGGACTATGTCTCCAAGACTCGCATGGTCATTGCAGTCATCACATCGGTGGCGCTAGGCGGCGGCGTTGCCGACCCTGCCCCTGCAGCAGCGTGCCCAGGGCATCGCTGAAGCGTTACCGGCCCTGGCGCGGCTGAGTGGATCCATTGTCGCTGGAGCGGATCGGTTCGGGGGGAGGGGAAGCCTGGCTTGTTTTCATGCTGTAGTCACTGTAGTGGGCAGCTTCAGCTGGAACGGCCAAGTGAAACTGAGACGACACTATTCAGACAGGCTTATGGATAGGGTTATGGGAACTGCCTCCCACTACCGCAGCTCCGACTCCACAAGCCCCCCTCTTCCCAC